TCAATTGTTGCAACACTTTAGGTGAGTTTGCAGCACCATTCAAAAGTGACTATCAACCAAATTCGGTAGATTTTAACGATATTCTGTTATAAACTCACTTGCTCCGTTTCAGTTCTCGCTCTCAAATTGAGAATTGCAATCTGTCTGTTTGTGTAAATGTGTTCGCTTTAGGTTTGTGTATGTATCCCTCGGCCTCGGCCTTATTCGATCGAAATGATAACATGAGCAAAGACAGAGTAAAAGACGAACCAAAAAGAAGGAATGCTGGGAGGGGAAGGTAGGTAGAAAAGAATAAAAACTAACAACATTGAGGTAAGCATTTGAGGGATAATGTTCCGAAATTAGAGAGTAAATTTTCCATCTATTTTCATCGGCTTTACTAATAGCCTTTTTGTACGTTTCACAAAACCAAACGACCTTTTACTATAAGTTTTCCACTTATTCAAACATTCATTTTCCTTTCTCGCCCACATTCGCTCTTCATAGCTTCATTTGTATTTTTTGGCCTTTGCACGTCACTCATCATCAAAGCTTTCTTTCTTAATTCATTCGGCCAACGGTCGCTCTTGAGCGATTCATTTACTTTGGTTAAAACATTAATAACAAATGGATTAGCACAAAAAAAAAACTATAAACGGTGACATTTTAAATGTGATATAATCCATAGATGTTTCATATCGCAATTCTTCTATCGAATTTCCCTGTGCGAGCCGGATGAAGAGCATTCAACTAAATGGCAAGATGAAATCTTTTACTAATGCTACTAAAGCGAAAATTACCGCCCAAATGTGACCACATAAACACCATGATTTATGGTGCATCGTTTGAAAGTCGACGAAAAATTTACACAAAAAAACGTAAGCACACACACACACACACCGCAAAACCATATCCGAGCTTCATTCGACACAAAAATTGTGCAATTACGTAGTGTTTTAAAATAAACCACTCACTAAATTGGATTATTATGTATTGCGATTGCAGTTTTGAGTAAAGTCGTTGTAAAAAGCTCTTGCCATTTCATATGTTGTGTGTGTATGTATGCCGGACTCAATGGAGCTTTCCATTTTGTGTTTTTAGCACCCTATCCACTTTCTCAATTCTCATCGGGGCATTAATAAAAAAAAGAGTGAAAACCGAAAAGGTGGAGAAAGAGTGAAAGGGAGAAGTGTGTTGATATTAAATACTTGCATATTTCAACGATAGTTTATCGTATCCTTAACACAGACCAAAGATATGAAAAACTTTTAATTTGATTATGCGCTAATTTTACCTTCTGCAATTTCTCATCTTTTCTCTCATTCTCACCTCTTTTTCATTTGCTTTGTACTCACGCTCTTTTTTTTGTCTCGTTTGGCTTGGTATGAATTTCCATCGCTATACGACATTCGCGAAAAATATATGTATTAAAGCAAACTTTGAAAACAAATTCAATCAAAAGGGATACAAAGCGCTAAGATTCTAACGAAAACAATTTTAACCAGTTTAACAACACAAGCGTTATGCTTTTTTTCTCTTCTCATTCTTCAAACAGCGTACGAAATGGATTTTGACGAAGAGTTTTTTTTTATTAGAGTATGCAACTTCGTCGAAAGTTCAGATGTTTCAAGCAAACACAGCTTGAAATGTCGAGAAATGAATCAAATTCAAAGAGAGAATGAAAAGAAACACCATCGAAATACACAATAGCCAAATCTTGCTTCGTACTTGTTTGAGTCCGGGATTTAGTCAAATAAATGTTTTTTTTTTTCACTCAATTTTTCCTCGTTTGTCGGTGTTGTTATTTACGAGAAACTTAACCAGGACTTTGAATGAAAAAAAAACGACAGCAAGTAACGCGAACGAAACACATGCTGTGAAGCACTTAGACAGTGCTAAAGTTAATTATATTTTTAAGAGTTTATGTGTCGCAGCAATTTGATGACGACAACGAGAACGATGCAAACGCAACAGCAACGTCCGCACATTCGGCATAATGGGCTACATAAATGCACATGAAATAAAAAAGGAGACAACCTTTATAAGTTCGCGCATTTATTTATGTACGTATTTTATGATAAACATAGTCGAGAACAGATGTTTGGATAACAGCTCACTTTTTTTCGCTCTCGCTTTTTTGACTGGCGCGCGCTCTCTCTCTCCTCCATAATTTAGAATGAAATAAACTGAATAAGAAGTAAAAACAACAACACAACAACGAACACTTTTGTCTTGTTGGGCCTGCATATTCATTTATTTATTTATTCATTTATTTCAGTTGCGTTTGTGTGTGTGTGTCGTCGTCGTCACAGTACCACAGTACTCAGAACAGAAGGAAGATGCAAAAAGAAGCGAGCTAAAAGAAAAACAAGACGAGACGAACAAAATGGGAAAGTGATCCGAAAAACCCTTTTCCGTTTGAGTAAACAACTAACGGTGTGCAGCATGCGAATATTGTACGACAATACCACAAACACTGAAAATGGTTAATGGCGTAAACGAAAATGGAGAGGTTAAAAGGAGCAACTATGGCAAACAGTGAAGAAAAATATTAGAGCATATATACATACACGCATGCATTGCATATAGAATGGCAAACACTGAAAAAAGTTAAAGACAAAATGAACCAAGTTAATGTTGAAATAAAAGGCACAAGTAACTGGAACAAGTTGATGCATAGAGCAACTATACCAAATATGTATATTATACAGTCATACACAAAAATAACAAACAAACCATATTCATCCGACCGGTCACAGTGTTTTTAATTCTATTTTTCGTAAAATGCATACTTTCCAGTCATGGGCAATTTTTGAACACACCATATTAACATATTGCATAAATACGATAGAAAACAAGCATATAATGCAGACGATATAACGATGTACTCTTCGACCTATTATATTCACCACACCAAATCCTCTAGCAAGCAACGTAATGTCTACAGGCCACACAACGACATTCGATCAAGTTGCAAAAACCAACAAAAAAAAACGCACACACATACTCACTCACACTTTTTACCGCTTTGAATCGTTGGCATTTAAATGAAGTGAATATTCAACACATCAAATACACATATTGTTTGGTTTTTCATTGCGTTTGAAAACGGTGATGATTTTTTGGTTATGCCCGAAACAGACACAATCTACAAAATGGAATGAGGGAGTCAAAAACATAAAAAAAAGTAAAAATAAACATTAAAAAGATTTGGTTTCTTTTTTAAAAGAACAACTCATTAAAATATGATATTGATTGAGATTGCGAGCACGGGAACGTAAGCACTTATACAGAACCATTTTAGTCCAGATTGATGATGAATAACATAATTTGTATGCAAAATACACACTGCGAACAATCAATTTTAAAGAATTAATTTGCAATCGATTCGCACGGCCCAGACTATATTCAGAAATCCAAACTAGCATGAAAAAACAATAGCATGAAAGTAAAAGATGGCTCACAGGCTCGTCATAATTTATAGCTGCAGCGTCTGCTGATAATATTGATGATGTTTTGTTGTAGACGAAGCTATTCGGTAGATGGATTTATGAGTGGATGGCGGCGAAGGGAGGAGGGAAAAGCTTTCGATTTATATGGAGTGAAAATGTCGAAATAGACCGACATGATTCGCTAACGATGGGCAATTAACATTAATTTAAAGAAATATACCACTTTCATTCGATTTGAACTATATAAATATTAATCAGTTTCAGATAGTACGGTTTCCTAATCGTTTTCCATATAAATGAAAGGGAAGAAAAAAAAAACTCGAACGTCCTTCGAATGGAATAACATAGAGATAGAGATATGGAAAAAGATAGAGATATTCAGATAAATTGAGCTACAAATTTCAATAATAAAAAATCGATTGAAAATCGTCGAAATAAGCGAAACTAGCCGAAGTAAACCTACATTCTCATACAACATCAAAAAAAAACCAACAGATTCATTGACCTTCACCGATTTTTCCATCCGCTATCCATTCGTATGCTACTATGAATCCTTTGATGCCTTTCTCTATCTCTCACACTCTATCTATCTCACTTTGTACAGTCGAGCATTGTGCGGCCCGTTGCACATGTTTATGCAGATTTTTGAAGGTTACACAATGCATATAGTACACTGAATAAACATGAATTTGAATTGACTTGTTCACATTTGTATTGCCATTTAAAAACACAATAACGAGAAAAGTCAAAAATACAAACAGACATTGAACTGTCTTTCGTAACCCGATGACAAACATTTTTTTCGTTTTTTTTTTTAATTAACGACAATAATAAATTATAACGTTTCTTTGGGCACGCCTTTCGCGTCAAAAGAGTCGACACTGGTGAAACCAATGAAGTTCAAGTGAATGGAAAATGTAGAGCAAAACAAAGCGGAGAGAATGTATATTTTATGTTCTGAATCTGAATAAGCCAATTTGTATGAAATTCATGGTGAAACTAGTAACCTGCATCGATTTCACATTTTCAATAGTGTATAATAAATCCATTTTGTATGTTTAGATTATTATCAAATTTTTGATTTTCATTTCATTTCGATTTTCATTTCGTTCCATGAATGTTATATTGTAAATAAGTGGTCGTCCACCAAAGATAATTCATTGTCTTAGCCAAAACCATTTGTTAATTCACATTGGTTTTGTTTGATTTTCGCCAGAGCGAATTTAATCGAATTTGTTTTATTATTGCTCTTCTTCACAACGAAATGAAGATTCTTTGCCAAAACCAGTGAACATGGTTTTCCGTATATTTTGTATCAGCAGCTGTAGACAGAAACACTTGAAACGTGTATATTGTTCATTGCGATTTTTTTCTTTGGTTTTTTTTTTGTTCAAAATAAAAAGTGAAATCCATTGCTTGGCTTCCATGTGCTACCACAGTACACACGTGCACGAATGAATAATTTAAAGCGATAAAAATCGATGAATTTTATTTAGTGCAATGCCGAAAGCAGATTTATTTTCCACTTCATTATCACAATACACAATCAGAAAAGCATTATAGACTTACCGTTTGCACACAATATTGTTTTCATTTTGTTGTTGTTGTTGTTTTTTTTCATGTGTATTTCTCTGAAAAAAGGAAAATAAAAGTAGTTAGGTCATTGAGCGTGTTATAATAAAAAAAAGTTTAGCGAAAATAAATCGAGTACATACATATACGTATAACATAGAAATACATCAACATATGCAAAATATAAAATGAAACTTATTGAATTAATTGTCGGAATGAAATAACAATTTTTACGTTGTGTAAAAAAAGGGTCAACACTCCGAATAAAAATAACAATGGCAACAACATCAACTAGCACTGAATTAATGAGCATAGTTGTGAAACTTTTTTTTTGTTGAGTATGTGCGCGTGCGGACGATACTATTCATCCATTGCGAATCGATTTCTCTTATTTGACACGCAAATTCATTGCTGCATGATAATCACACAAAATGTGTGACGCCCAAACGGAATGCTTGTATTCATATACTTGCTTAATGCTTACACTTCTCCCTTTTTTTAGGTATCACCTAGGTGTTTCTCTACAATCCATATTCACATTCGGATTGTTCATTTATTAAAAAAAAAGCATTAAAATTATTATCGGAAAAATAGTGGCAGCAAGTGTGTGTGTGTGTATTTGGACAAAAAGTCCGAAAATTAATTTTGTTAAGCACAATTCGTGCTTTTTTCACTTAATGTTTGTACATCCATGCATTAAAATGCAATTCATTCGGGCCAAAATTGTATTTATCATAAATTAAACGATTTGCATTTTTGCTTATAACTCTTCAGGCAAAAATGCATTTAACCAGAAACATGTATCGTTTGAAAATAAAACACGTCTCATTTTGTCGAATCGAATACTTTTAAAATGTACAATGTGTTTTTTTCTTCAAATGCAAACCCAAAAATGTAATACATGAAATCAGTATGTGTACGACTGCTGTTACATTTGTTAAGGAGAAAGTGCAGAGAGAAACATGGCTGAAAGTAAAACGTCTCTGGCAGACCAACAATTTATATAATTTAATAAAATCGCACAAGTTGCAACATTTCGGTGGTGACATTGTTTGAGATTTGATTTTGAGCTAGGGGTTTTGAATACCATGTGTTTTGAGAATAATTTGCATATATTCTCTGCGAATATTCGACAAATGCATTCAATGCACAATTGGTAAAATATGCAAAGTGAAAATATTAAATTGGTATCTTTTTTTTTGAAACATTGAGCCGCATTATGCGTTTGTTCTGCGAATATTTTCGGAACACATACATTTTTCTCCAGAATCATCGTATGATATAAATGCGCGAATAGATAATTTCCCCTAGATTTTGAGCGTATATTCACAAGAATCAGAGAAGGTTAGTGTAGAGATATTTCACTGAAGAAAACATTTCACTGAGAAACTTATTGAAATTAATGAATAAAGTAAAATTGAAGTTGCATAGCATTCTCATCAAAATTTCGATGCACTCTATTGCGAAATTAATGTATTCAGGAATGCCGAAACAAAAACTTTCTTTTCTTGAATCGGCCCGCCCTATTGTGTGTGTGCTTTTCGTTTCAAGACTACACAGTGTAGAGAAGAAAAAAAAGTAGTACGGGAACATTGGGTTCGACTGAATTGACTTTTGTGCAATGTTCATATGTGAACACGGCCAAACTAACAAAATCGACATGAAATTATAGTGAGTTTTTGTAGTGCACCCCCACTGCTCAAATGTCAAATACAACTAATGATTTCATTCAACCGAAACGTTTTCAAAAACCATGAATAAAATAATTGCGTTCAAAACGAGCGTTCAATTCAGATAACAATTATCTTTTTTCGTCGGAGAATTTGAAGACAGAGAAAGAAAAAGAAAATATGTGTAAATCGAAAAAAAATCAAATGTCCATGTTAAAAAGTGAGAAAATGCCCGAAAAAAGTTCCAAAACAATATTCAGACGACAGCTAAACATATGAAGATTGACATTACACGCAGGGAATAACGAAAAACGAGAGAACAGAGAAAAGGCGTAAATAAGCAACAGCCAACATATGAAAAAAAACGAGCTTTTCGTGCTTTTTTTGTGTAATAAGGATAAGGAATTTATGGCCAACACGAAGTTCAGCGAGCAAGTAATCTTCAGCCGAAATAAATACTGTTTATTTATTTAAGTGAAATGCCTGTTGTTGCGGTTGAGCTGAAGCATTTTGGAAATCCAAATCCACACGGAATATTTCAAATGAATAAAACGCATTCTCTAGACTTTGTGAAGAAGTAGCAACAGCAGCAGTAACGATGGTACAACACCAAACACCAGCTATAATACCAACGATAACGATAACGATAAACAATAATATCATTTGACAATCAACGACAACAAACAATGGAATGGTTATTGTTTTGGGCTTGAATAACAAACCATTGCGACAAAATTGTGAGAAAGAGAGAGAGAGCGAATTCACATGAATTTGAACGCTCGTACATCAATTGAAATGATTGAAACAAAATGGCAAAAGACATAAAAAATGAGCAAAAGAATAAAGCAACGATGAAAACTTCGGATAAAAGAGCCGGATGTCAGCGTCTCGAATGCTGTTGCGACGAGTGCACATCATGTCATTAGAAACGGTGTGACGAAACAAATGGTAATAATAATCATATAAAAGTAGAGAGAAGCATGGCACACAGAACACAAACACTCATTGCCAATGTCGATGTTGTGATAATAAATCCGATACACATTCGTTTGTATTGTTCTTTCTCTTGCGTTTATTTTCTGTCCGTTTTTTTTTCTTCTTCCGTTTCATCAATTGTGTGCGATGACATTTGGCAATCAACAAAAGATTCTAAACAACTTGGATACATTCAATGTCGGTCCAATCGTCAGAAATGGGTAGACAGTGTCTCTACTAGACACATAACATTTTTGAATGCGATTTTTTCAGAAGATTATGTGAAAAAAAAGAGCAACCAAAGATGGAGAGACTGTTTGAGCTAATTATAATAACAGTAATAAAACTGAAAGGGACATATAAATCGTCCTAGATTTGATCGGCTACATTAACTGTTTGCACACATGAAAACATCCATTTTGTCAAATCGTGTATTTCGATGTTGCCAAGCATTTTGGTAAAATATGGCATACACACACAATGATTATGTATGCAACAGCTGCATAAATGTGTACCCTTTTTTTATATTTGTACAATGCTCATACGCTGCATTTGATTTTCGCTTTCGATTTGTTAATGCAAAGCACACATTGTTGAAGTCGTGTCGCTGTCGCCAATGTATAAAAAGAAACCATACCACACCATGACCCGAACGTTTGAATAGGGATTTTTTTTTGTATTTTATCCATAGACATTATATCGCTTTGTGTTCGTCATTTGAGTTGTAAATTCTATTTTTATCCATGTTGTTGACGCTTTTTTTTCGCTGTAGCAAACGTTTCATTCTATTTTCTATCTATATTTTGCTGTAAATGCAACCGAAAATTGTGTGTGCGCTTTTTTCATATGTGCGTTTTATATATGCTGTTGTTGTGGTATTCCTTTTGATCTGTATTAAAAGGATTATGTCATCAAAATCAAAATAAATTCTCAACAACTGCGAATGAACCTTTGCGCTCAATTTCTCCAGTCTAGACAAAATAAACCGAACACACACGCGCGCACACTCACAAGAAGAAGAGAGAGGAAAAAAAACAAGAACCATCATCACGCTATCCTTTCGCGAATAGATAGACACAATATATTGAATTGACTTTTATTGATTTGGAAACGGCAAAAACCGACGAAAAAGCATTTCGACTTAGGATCCGTGATAATAAACGGACAAAATCCACAATAATCGTACATCATTCGAAACGCTCAAATATAACTTTATCATAAAACTTGTCTGTTTATCGGTTGGCGTTAGAGTCATTTATCGCGCTTACAATGGTAGCACCAATAGCATTGAAGATGATGCTCATTGTAAGTGGCATACAGGCGACCTTACACATATACCCACACACAGTACAAATACTAACTCACATTTGTCATACAACCAAGGCTCAATAAAACCACAGTTTTATATCACTCTTGTAACACAAATAAAAACCATAATCATGAGTTAACTAAAAAGAATTAAGAAGTTGAACCAGTATATCGTACGTATAATATATAGGTAATATATGGTTTTGCAGATGCAGGTGCGCTATATTATGGTTGTTGTTTTTCTTTGCAGCAGAATTGTATGAGTGAAAAGAACGAAGAAAGACGTAAAAAAGAGAGAGAGAACGAGCGAGTATGATGCTTTCGCAATGCTCCAAGATTGAGTTCAACTGGGCCACAATAAAAAAAAGTCTTGATGTGCATTTTTTTAGTATGTTTTGTCATTCCGTGGTATTTGTTTTTGCTTATGGTTGCTTTCATTCGCGATAATATATCCAATGTGCTATAGTCTGGGCGAATTGTCCATGATTTTGTAGTTTGTTCTTATCATGGTTTATATTTGCACTATCTCTCGTCTCTCTTTTCTCTGTGTCCGATGGACTATTCTGCTGTGTGCATCGGATATGTATCACTCCATAAACACGATTTATTTGAGTATGTTGTGTACACCAGCTCCTATTTATATACCATATTCATTCTACTTTACCTTTAGCTTTTACTTAACATCATATTCTCTCATCAAACATATACATTCATTCTCTGCATTTACAATTTATACATCTCTCTGGATCTCTCTCTTTTCTCGTTTTCTCTCTGGAAAAAAAGTCATCGGCCCCATAATATATATCGACGTATTTGCATAAATTAAACATATATGTTTTATTTTACTGCTCTGAAAACATAATTCATGAAATTGACGAGCTCAAAATTTATGCACATTCAATAACACAATCGATTTCTCTATATCTCTTTCATTTTCTCCTTCTGTGCGCACGGTCTGATTTTATTTGTGATTGCAATATGAGTTATGTAAATTGACAAAAAAATATGAATCGTCTAGTGTTTGCAGCTTATATGCATTGTGTATGTGTATGTGTCTGTGTGTGCTATCACTTTTCTCAATCATCAACAACAAATTTGAGCGAAAT